ATGTCTATCGCACACCCCAGTAATAATCAATTTGATCTTTCTCTGCGTTCTTTTTTTTAAGGTGGGAGGGCGATGGTTTTGATTTTGGACAATTGTATTTGGGGTTAATCGGTTCCAGTACACTTTGAGACGTGCATTTTGACGCAGTTGCCCTGACTTTTCGATGATGTCTCATTAGATATTGATTTATAGACGTGCTGAGGCTTTCTCAAGTCTATAGGTGGGCGAAAGTGGGTGGGGAGAGGGGAGAGAGGTGGGGGAACGATAATCACAATGATATAGCCGATGACTCAGTTAGGGGTGTCGATGCGCACATGGCACTTTTCTCGGTCCACTGTCAAGCACATGCCTTTTTCGCTTCAATCTCCAGGACAATTTAACTCCCATAAGCACTATCGATGACATCATCTTCGGCGTATCTTGTTGTGGCTGAACACGTTCTATTGGGGATGATCAGAACTAAAGTAGTTTTCTCCGACCTACACTGCTCTCTCCCCCAGCCTCATTCAAATGCAAACCATGGAGAACGTGGACGTTTATTTCATCAATAAAAGCACTAACACAAAATTCCTCCAATATTTAAATACAAAAGAGTGAGATAGTTGCAACAGTAAATTTGACAATCCCCTTTGGAAAAGGAAAACTGGTTTGGTGTCTGCAAGATTTGCCAGTTTTCAAACGACTTGGTAATAGAGAAGATGATTTCTCTGTGCCTCATCGAAGTTGAATATCAAAGATTCTCCAATGCGGGTGGGTAAAAGGATAATTTAAAATTAGGTTAATTGAGAGGTGCGTGATAGGCTTACCTCTACATGGTGTAGCCAGCGCAACGTATACTCATAGAGCAAAAAAAGTTCTATAAACCGGCAGTTGACTTCTGTCTACCATAACCAAGTCACATTTGGCCACCGCCTTAGTACTCACTTTACCCTCTTCTCTGCCTTTGTGTCTGTGACTCACTCTTCCCCCATCCTCCTTTCAACTTTTGGTGACTTTAATGATCCTTCCCTCTGTTAAACCTCAAGTCAACATTATGGCTGATGAAAACTATCATAAAGCCTGCCACTTAATGTAATTAGGTTGAAATTTAAGTGTCTCCAAGCCCTGTCTACTATTTTATCGGCAAACTGAGAAGTTCGAGAACCACTGTCTTGAATATAGAGGTTGCAAAGAATCGATACAAAAGTACGACCCCATATGGTTGTAGAAACCGAAAAGACCAGGCATAGAAGAACTTGAAGCCATAGGCGAACTTCAGACGAATGTTTGCCACAAAATTCTGACGGCTGGTTAACTCTCATGGCACACGTGTTCTTTTCACGGTCATTTTTGGGCGTAAGCATCCTTTAATGAGTAATATATTGAACTTTATATTATCTGAGCAAACGGCAGTCATACCATTTACTTGCCCACGGGTTTTAATGACAATTTTCAACTTTGTACATCTGTTTTAAGAGTGTAAGGGAGTGGGGTCACTGTGTGTAGATAGGTGCCTAAATTCAAGGCCATTCACACCATTGTTTTGCTATACATTGACAAGACATCTAGTTTTGCTATTATGGTCTAAGTGACCACTAGAAATGGGTATTTAAAGTTATTGAAATTAATTTTTTTGAAGTGCTCTACTGCGTTTAGAGAAACTTTTAGTAGGTTTAGCCTTGTTTTTTCCCAATTAATCAACATTTTGAATATCATTCCATCGTCTGTAACGAGGGGGAGGGGGGTGGGAAGGGGGTGTGGATTTTGTCTAGACAGAGCTCATCTGCATACTGGCCAAACCGTCAAGCCACTGAGAGACCGCCTAGGATGTCCAATTTAATTATCGGAAAAAAGGGCATGTAGAGCATGCGGGATCTCTGACGTTGATTAATTTATTTATTTCAAATAGTGGGCTTTATGACACTTATCATTTGCCCTTTAGCTGACTTCGGGCTTCACAGAGGGAAGGAGGAACATCAAAATGAGAAAAAGTTGAGAGGGCGGACAGAAGAATGATTTAAAGATGTTAAAGAGACAGAGAAAAGGTAGGATAAGTATGGTGGAAGTGATCGAATAAAACATACAGTATGGTGGAAGTGATCGAATAAAACATACAGTGGGATCATGGTAGTTTGAAGTCAGAAGTCAACTATCGGTTAATAGATTTTTTTGCCGTATGAGGATACGTTGCCCAGGTTGCACCACGTGGAAGTAAGCCTATCGCTCACCCCCGTTGATTAACTAATACCTAGCCAACGCACTTTGTTAGCTTGACCACCGACACACGAACTACTAAGGCGAGGGGAGGGGGGAGAATTCTAGAAGATAAATTCTAGTTTTTGAACCTTGAAACGGGGTTAGGGTTAGGATGCACATATTAGTTCTTTCCACTAATATGTTCCCCTCCCCATAATTTGATGTAATTATCATTTGCGAAGCCCGAACGCAGTTGCCAAGCCACCATCAACTCCTCATCCCTGTTCGGACTCTGTGCACCTTTAGGTCAGCGCATTAAAATCTTGTAGGACAAAATATTTGCCATCGATTTTAAAATCTAGGCCACTTCATAAGTATGCCCGCGACGTCAATTGGAAAGGGCATATTGAGGCCATTCAACAATGACGTTGATTTGGCTTTCAACTTGTTTACCTAGCAATTTTTTTCGTAATGGGAACCAATGGAGTAATTATTTTCGACCTGTGTATGAAATTGAATGGCTCAGCAACCTTCAACCATTTAGTGCCCTAAGATTGTCAAGGCTACATTCAAAGCTAAGAGGACAAGAATGTATCGTGAGGAGAGAGAATGTTGCTGTAAAAAGTGCTTGATAATTGAGTAGAGGTAACGTCATATTGCATAGGTATTGGTTCCTATTTGAAATAGAGGCCTCTGGTTGGTTGTTCGCGCTTGCGTGCGGTCTCATTGATCAGTCGTAGTGATATTGTGCACAACACAGGACAAATTCGATATTGTTGAAGTGGGGTGCGCAATAGACTTACCTCCACGTGGTGCACCCTGGGCAACGTATACTTATACGGCAAAAAAAGTCTATCAAACCGGCATTTGACTTCTGACTTCAAACTACTATGGCCCGACTATTTGTCATATTCGACCTCTTCCACAGTACTCATCTTACCTTATTTATGCCTTTGTATCTGTCTGTCTCTTTTACCTCTGTGAATCACTCTTCTGTTCCCCCACTCGACTTATTGTCACTTTGATGTTCCTTCTCCTCACTGTGAAGCCCCGAAGTTAGCTCCAGGGTTAATGATAATTATCAAAACGCCTGCCATTTGATATAAAGAAAATAAATATTGTTGAAGTCAAATTCCTACCAATTTCTTTATTACCATTACCGAAAATGCCAATTTTTGATCGTGGGAGTATTATAACTTAGTCAACAGAAAGCACAACAAATGGTAATATGGAGAGGATCACAACGGAGTGAGAGCAATCCCAAAATATTCATTTATTTATTTCAAATGACAGGCTTTATGATAGTAGGAAAAAAGGTGAGGTGAGAACTGTGAAATTGGTAGAATATGCCATACAATGGGGTCATGGTAGTTTGAAGTCAGAAGTCAACTGTCAGTTTGTAGACTTGTTGCCGTATGAGTAAACGTTGTCCAGGGTGACCCACTTGGAGGTCGGTCTATCAAATAGTCATAAGCAAACCATTTTTTAGACCCACGTTAAACCGTTTTCTCTAATTGGATGTCCAAAGGTCTAGAGTTCAAATTTCGCGAGACGTTGTCTGGAGAGTAATCAATGTTTGCCTCCGCGGCTTAGAGCTTATCGATTGGGCAATTTTAACTCAATTTCTCTCCTAGAAACCTTGGGCTTATTCTCAGTTTGCCACAGGTGTACAATTTTACGAATTGCCCAAGTACGGCAAATGCATCTGGATAACGACCTAAGAAATTTCTACTTTGTGAGTAACCAACGTACATCCAGACATTATCGGTCTTTGTTCCTCGTTTTCTTATCAGCGTATCGCTTGCTCTTTAACCGACTTACACTTCTACCTCAATTTGACTTTTAATATGTATGAATCATCATTGTCATACGGGTCTTTTGAGACTTTGTTTTGAAATAGTTGAGAGTTTTAAGTGCAGATAGAGTGGAACACTGAAGTCGACTTAACTGAGAGCTGGATTTAATTAGTGGACGTGCTTTATTTTGTGGGAATTTTATTAAATAACATTGACAACGAAATGATGCTTGAAGCTCCAATTACTTTGAAAAAAAACACTTTGTCATTTATATAAGTGTGCGAAAGTGCTGTTAAGATAAGTAGAAAAAAAAGGGTTTTTTTTTCATGGAAAAAATGGACTAACCTCCGCAAATTCAAGTGACATTTTCGACTTGAGGTATGAGATTCCCAACAGCATGTTGGTTTACTTTGTAACCCTAGAACCTATGACAGTGGAAGTATACCCACAAAAGGTAATACTAATCAGATTCGCTACGACTTCCAAGCGTTTTACAACAATTATCCTGGAAGGAGGAATAACCTTACAGAGGATCCATATTCGAGAGCACGGATTCCACTGCCCTCTCTATTATCCGGACTGTGCCACTGGGTGAAGCTGAAGGGTAACGAATCAGCGACTGTTATCCCCGCCCCCCTCCCAACCCCCCCCCCCGGGCTCGACCACCCAACTGATCATTTACAAAGCCCGCAAACCACTCATAAGAAACTGCTCAAGTAAGACACTAATTTACTCAATCCAACTTTATTCAACTATCACCTCCAGCTGATATCCAAGTACCATCTCAAAGATCATCATATACTACTAAAAATACCATATCAGCGACCCAATTTGCTCATGGTAAAGATGAAAATTTACAATCGAAACCGTTTATTCAATAAATCTATGAAAATATCTTGCATCATGTCCACAATAAATACATACAAAACAAGTAATAAAGATGAAGGCAATAATTTAAAATAGGAGCACTACACGAGCATCAAGAATGTCGGGCGAAGAGAAAGACAGAAAATGCAAAGAATCGATACACTAAGATGTCGTCGAATTTCCTCCATGTGATTGTTGTGGCACTAGAATTGTGGAAGACCGCGGGGTCCGACAACGTGCAAATCGATCGTATGTGGCTGCCATGGTTTCCGGGGCGTCTGGCGTTGGTATATTGAGCATCTCTGAGGCACATTGGATCAAAACATTCACACGAGAAAGGAAGTTTGGCTCCAGAGAAACGGATAGCTCTGAGGCTGGCGCTAGGTACACCTGGTCACCTGTAAGAATGCATATACTACTTATTTGTGGATATCAGAAACTCACAAAACGTGTAAACTGCGATACTGAAGTATGGTATGCTGTATAATATACTGTTATTGGGATGAGATGATTAATCGATTTTTCACTTATTTTATCGCAAGTGGTGCTTTTATTCTGAATATCACCGACCAACAATGGACTTACCCAGATATATTACAGGCTGGAGTTTGGAAAATAGAGAACACTTCTTACTGCCCACAACCCGAATAATTCTGATAGCCTTGATCTCGTACAGCATCTACAAAAAAACAGAAGAAAAAATGAGCTAAAATTTGCTGTGAGGTTGGCCGGCATTAAAAAAACCTCGTCGTCTTTCTCAAGTTCGCATCACAGAGAGTTTGTCCAGAGAAGGAACAAAATGGTATTGTCACTTCAACGGGATTTTGAAGACGAGTAATTTGTTTCATGGCCATGAAGTGGGGAAAAGATGTGGGGGCTTCTGTCTAAGGAGCTTTCATCAAACTTGTGTGGAACCGGTCCGCTCCGTTCTCATAATCTTATTAAATTCACTTGCTTCCTATGTGCGCTAGGGCTTAGAATTGTTTGCAAACTTTCACAATAAGGAGACATCCCAGCATACAGAAGGCGAAAGTGCCTAAGAGTGTCCACTCTATGAGGGGAAACAGAAACGAGGAATCAAGAGAACCCAACTTCATCTGAGCTCCAGAATTATCAGACCAACTACCGCTTCGAGTTGAACTTCTTCCCTATTTTTCAGCATTCTGCCATGTCGTAGAGGAAATCAAGGAATTTTGGAATGACTCTCTTTACTTCTAGCTTCTATCTACTAGACAAAGACGCCCACCAGGTAAGAAGATCATCTTGTGGTGGGCTTGTGGTGGCCAATCGATGAAATCGAGAATCATCAATATAAACTTTGCACTTTACAACCACCTTGGAACTGATTGACTACCCTTGACGTAAAGTGCGTCTTCTTTGCCTGCATAACTAAAATTAACACCTTAGAACAGAGCGTGATCTAGTCACGATATGTCTGAGTCTGAACATAGCTCCCAATACGATAAAAATGCTGCCAACTGATTCATCATTGCTTGCCATTACTTCTTTGTTGCCAATCATTAGACAATATAATCCACTCACCATACAGAGAATTCTGAAAGAGACCGGTGAAAGGATATGCCGATACTGCTCAGCCAAGTAATCCATAGTACCACCAGAAAGACGTGAGATGAAAGAACAGATCGAGAGGAGGAGATGTGTGAAGAAACACGACTTGAAAGACCCGGATTCGTTGATCCACGGCTGTGGAATGAAGTAGTAATCGGAACGTTCATGACCACTTTTGAGAGGACTACTGATTGAAGAGGTTGGTTCTTCGAGGGCGTTCCTACAGTCAGGTTTTCAAAACGGTTAAAATTCCACAATACATACGACAGTAACAGTTAAGGTGCAAATATCAAGTACCCAAAATCGGAAAACGAGACACGTTTCTTCGAGGGAGTTGAGGTGGCATTTCGTTCAAGGGCCTCAAGTTGAGATGTGTTGACAGCCAAGGTCATTCGGACAGGAAGTATTGACTTGCTTGGAGTCTTTTCAGTTGTCAACTTAACTGAATTATCACTGGAGCTTTTGCTGGTCAACTTGGGATCTCTAACGTGAACGAGCCACAGGCGAAGATGTGCCCAGTGGACAAGGCGGGGCTCATTTAGACCAACTAGGAATACCTGAAAGGTTGTGAAGACACAAGAGTGTTTAGATTAGTCTATTGCATTTATAGTAGACAAAGGGAATTAAAAAACAATATGAAGTTATAAACACACACTAGCACAGAGCACATGTGACAACTAATCTACGAAACGCGGTAATGAGCATCTGTGTTTCATCCGTTGGTAGATATTCTAAGGTTATTAAGAAAAATAATCAATAAGAGCAAACAATTTTTACAACTTTTGAGTCTATACAGGCACTACCACCCACACTGAAATGGGAATTTCATTTTTTGAAATACAAGAAGAGATAGGGTGAACTAAGAACCCTGGAGGTAATAGCAATCATCACAGAAGGCAAAACTCATCTCATTTGGTTGTATTAACGAAACCCATTTCCAAAAGCCCCACACAAGGTGAAAGATAATCGAACAAGTGAGTTTCCCTTCTAGCCTACAAAAACGTAGTCACTCCTACCTGCTCCATAATATCCACCACGAAAAGCCATTGGTCCATAATGATTTCACAAAAAGGTGCTATCAATCTTCAGACCCCTATGACGTACAGTGTGGGGTGTGCGATAGACTTGCCTCCACGTGGCGCACCCTGGGCAACGTATATTCATTCGGCAAAAGTCTCTTAACTGGCAGTTGACTTCTCACTTCAAACTACCATCACCTCACCCCATGCCATATTCGACTATTTTCACAGTACTCACCTCACCTTTTTTCTACCTTTGTGTTTGTTTCTTTTACATCTGTGAATCACTCTTCTGTCCCCGCCTCTCGACTTTTTTCACTTTGATGTTCCTCCTCCCCTCTGTGAAGTCTGAAGTCAACTAAAGGGCTAATGATAACCATCAAGACGCCTGCCATTTAATGTAAATAAATGACGTACAGTGTCAATGGCTAACTTAAATTTACAACCCTCTTTGAAAAAGCACCTGGGGAATTGCAATTATTTCTTTGCCATGGACAACAGACACGACGTAGTGGGGTATGCGGTTGTGATCCAGGTCCTTGGAGAAAACGGGTGCTGGACATTGTAGTTGTGGGAAGGCGACATGAGCAGCAAGGCCAGTCGCTCAACATAACCCACTGAAAGGCCAACTCTGAACACATTAATATGAGACTTGAATAACGAAATGAACTACAACTTTGAGTCTGATAAGATCGAGTGCTCTACAGTTTAGGAATTCACAGATTCCCCCAAACCTCGCGTCTACTTTTCCAATTAATCCACCATAGAGGTAGGCAAAAGTATTCGTTGAAAACATTCATTTGCTGCGTAATTGGATGTTTCGAATAAAGAAAATAAGTAAAGCCTTTTAGTCTTGCCAATCAAAATAAAAGGCATTTCAAACATTCAACCGAATTAAAGGCAGCAAGTACTGATGTCTTGATGATTGCAAGAAATCAGTACTGCCAACCAGTACAACTGGCATCAATAGATTTAAATCGGACAGTGAACAGAGGTTAGGCAAAATACATAAGGAAAGGACCGCTTGAATTGACATCTTATACATAATTAGTATTTGATCCTACCTTCTGATCGTCCATTAATCGACGCAAAGTATGAATCGTCACTTTAGAGTCGGAGAATCGATCCTAAAATGTCAAATTAGGAACAAGATTAAAATGGATTGAAGACAAGAGCATGGGAGAGTATTTTTATCTCCAAATTTTCCAACTTACCCTCATCTGATCAAGCAGTCTACCGGACTCGCCCGCGCCAAAAATAAACTCCAACATTCTATTCACCTTGTCATCCCCTCCACTACTAGGCGAGGCATACCCGGCACCAAGCTCCTTTGTCAGCTCCTTTGCTTTCGCCGCATCCCAATTCAGGGGAGCAAGGAATTTGGAGAGAACTCTTTTGCACAACTTCTTGTGCTCCGGCTCGCCATCCACAACAGTGACATGACACGATGTGGATGGCGCAACAGCTTCCACACAGCCGCCATTCAAGGAAAGTCGGATATCAATCCTCGGGGTTTTGCCCTTCATAGATCGGTTGGGGCCCGAGGAACTCGGACCAGGACCTTCATCTGCGCTACCTCCATCAAGATACATATTTAACAGGGGCTCCTTGATTCCGGTGGAGCTATTTTTGTGCTTGTTGCCTTCAGCTTTTAAGAGCTTGACTGTCATTCCAATGTGAGTGGAGGGACCAAATGAAAGGGAAGTTGCCCAATCCATTTTTTCGTCGTCTTCCAGGTCCTCATCCGGAGATCTTCGAAGCTTTTTTCGAGGGGGAGAGGGTCCGACATCTTCATCAATGTCACTTCCACTCATTATGCAGCGCTTTCGATCCTCGAGGGACATGCAAGGCTTTTGAAGAATGCTGATACAACTCATATCGAAGTGGACCCTTAGTTGCACTTGCTATAATAGGAAAAGCCGAAATTAGGTGAGTTAAATTTGGGGGTCATTTATTATCATTAACCAATAATGTGCAACCATGCACCCTAGCCTTCCTACAACTTTTCCTGATTCTACCAAGAGATTGGAGTAGGCACGCAATGGCTAAAGTCCGTTTGTCCTTAAACGCGTAACATACAAATTAGATGAAATTAGTTGACGCCTCTCATCGATTCTTCCACCATTCTGGTCTACAATTTTGAGAGCTAAAGCGATTCGCGCATCTTTGATTATTCCCAGTTCCCCCCCTCCCCCCTCCCCCCCCCCTCCTCATTTCCCCACACTGTCTTCCAATAGACCGGTGGCCCAGTTATCTGCCATAGGCTGTTGTACCTCAGTAGTTTTAATAAGTGCAGTGCACTTACAAGGGATCGGATCAATTGGCCTACTGAGGTGATTTGACAGTAGGAAATAGTATGCTTTGATCCACCTTACTAGCCAATCGATTATATGTGACTCATCGCATTGTTAGTACGCTAAGGCTCTTAGATAGTGCAATCATAATACAATCCTGTTCAAAACGCTTAAAGGCTCTTCAAATGAATAGTTTTAGACGA